TCAGTGTTTGCGGAAGTAAATGTGGATGCTAATAGTGGAGCATATCTTACGATTTTAAAGTTGTTGTCCGACAGGAGCCAGCTCATTAGCAACTCAATCCTCATTGTCGTCCAACATGGCTGATGATTTCTTCCCGCTTGCGTGTATCAGGACGCAGAATAGTGACGTTTCTCGAGTATCAATGACGTTCAGGTTGGACGAATACGTTATACAGATTCAGGTCACGTTTGAAAAGATAGGTTATATATGTATCGGATTTAGGACCACATATCCAAGTATCCTGGGTCGCATTAGAACAAGTATGATCTGTGTTGTTAAGACTGTCATGAAAATATCATATACAGGCAAAAAAAAAAAAAAAAAAAAAAAATCGGTTTTGGGTCACTTCAGGCTTCAGACTGCAAAGCCTAATTTTCAAGGCATCCATGCTAGATTTTAAGTTCAGAGTAAGAACCCTCATACTTTCCAATGCTGAAGTCCGAATTTCAGGTAACATTTATCCTGACTAAAAATGTGCAGCCTTCAACCAGTCACACAGACAATATGTTTAAATGGCGAGTTTTTCCTTTTCTTCGGGACACAATAACTGAACGACAACATCATGTTCTACTTAAAAGAAAATCTTCAAAAAAAGAAAAAGAAAAAAGAAAAACACTTTAAAACGTGTTTAATGAAGTGGTGGTTGTTATTAAATAAGCGCCACCGCACAAAGCAAATAATATTGGATATATTAGTTTATCTTCTTTTCCAAACACAGCCTAAAGTAGTTTGTTGAAATAATATGTCACCGATCTCGCAAGATAAAGTGAAAACAATGGGATGAAGTTTGCAAAAATACGATCAACGGTCCATTTAGTTACCTTTCAAAATAAAAATAAAAAATCAGTTTTAGAAACTTACACAAAGTGCAAAAGAGGTAGCGGTACAGTTTTAATATAATTATTAATGTACGCGTGTGTGTCCGATTTGTCATATCAGAAATAATATTTCTCAAAGTTGTTTTTTATGTTTATTTATTTATTCATTTTATCATCACGTAACAGTGAGCGTTGTGTTTTCTTTACTTTGAAAGTAAAAAACGGAAACTACCTCTTTCGTAATATCAGACTTAACACGGTTGGAGGTGTGGATGGAGGCGAAACTTTGATAAAAGTAGCGACGGCGAGAAGTTTCTCTTTCTTTTTATTGCCAATCATAATCTTCTGGCTTGGGAGCATGTCCGGTTTGTTTATGACGAAGAAAAGGCTCCGTTTCCTCGATGGCGACAACAACACAGCTGCTGTTCCTATGACATGACAGTAGAGCCGAAAACTTAAGGAGCCAAAGTTTGAGCAACAACTTCGTCGTAACTATTTCAGTTATTAACGTTAGAGGGGGAGAAAACGGCCGCAACAATGGCCAACATCGCCTTGTTTTCGATTTGGGCATTTGTTTTTAGTCTCAATTTCGGAGCGACGTACTGTTACTTTTCAATACCGCTGAAAATTTACCCGGGGAAATATAATTTCACCACTGAGGCCAATTTGTCTTCTGACCGGGTGGTAGCGCTGAAATCAGATGGAGAGGGTCTCTCTCTGGCCTCTGATCCCAGCGGCACGGTCAACTTTCTGGACATGGTCAACAACCTGCAAGGGGACTCTGGAAGAGGCTACTACATAGAGATGTCTATTGGCACTCCTGGCCAAAAGGTACTGTTTCACCTCCACAAAGTGTAAATATTTGTTTAATACCTCATTTGAATTAACAGTTGTTGTTTTTACTTAGTTTATTGTGACTTGTACTTTGCTTTTAATGATATCGTGCTTTCTCTCAATCCCTTCACTATCTTATGCGAGTTATAGAACGCACTTGAATAATAATGGTTTGAGTGTAACATGAAGGAAGGGAATAGTTTATGATAAGAGTGACGTAGTTTATTGTGAGACTTTATTAGCCTTTTTAGTCAGGGACAATTAAGGTAAGACTGAGCCAGAGCTGTGCTGCAGCTGGCTTTACCAGCCTTGGGGTCTGTAAGGTAGGCTACAGCTTCCCACTCACATGCGCTCACATGATGCTGCCTGTGAGGACCAGTGTTTCTTTCCAGGCAGCTGACTGGGATTATGAGGCTCCCATGGAGCAAAGAACAGCCCCAGACTTGTAAAAAATAAAAAATAAAATAAGAGCTATTGTTTCAGACATACAATTTGCTTGGTAGGTAAGCAAACAAAATCTTCAAAAAGGTTTGGGTGTCAAAACAGACACATTCATCTGAAATTATACCAAGATCATTTCTGCAGGTTATAAATGAAGAGTGTTGCAGAATTATAACGCTAAAATGTGAATGGATATTTCTCAGTTTATATTAAAACCTGAGAAACTTTATGATGTAAAAATGTGCCTAATTTTATGCTTCATTCAAGGCATTGAATATTCAATGAATAATCTTTGATCAATGTTATGTGTTTTTAGGGATTAGAATAAGTGTCCATTGACTTTGATTTATTAAACCACATTTGTTATTGTAGAATATAGTTTCACTATTACAAACAGCAACAGAGGATATTCTGCCTTAAAACAAAAACACATCCAGCTTGCAATATTTTTCAAATTAAACATTTATGCTAAATCCTGAAAATAAGGTATAAAATACTTCTAATCCCTTTTTATCAATTCTGGACCTTGCACAGGGTAAATAACTATGTCTTTACTGAACAAATCAGCTGACTTTTTGTATTTTAGTACTTGAAAACTCTAACTAACTGAGTATTTAGTTGATTTCTCAAAACAAATCAATCAAACTTTGGACCAGAACTGCAGCAATAAGCCCCAGTTGTGTTGCTAAATAAGATGAGAAAGTCAGGGTAGGTTTACTTTACATTGTTATTGGACATATTTTTTAAACTGGAAACAAAAGAGGCAAATAAAAGCAGTTTTCTTTTTTTTTTCTTTTTTTTTGGGGTGACGGGACAGCCAGGGGTGTAATCACCTGTCCACCATTTTCAAAGAAAATAAATTAACGGAATTAATTTATTTTTAAATTAAGTTTTAAATGTTTTTACATGAAAAACAACCCTTGATTTTTAGCTGTTAACTGTAGCTACCTCCATGTAGAGTCGCACAGAAATAAACACTATTGTGAAAAAGGGACATTTCATATACTGAGCAGTTGTTACTATGTTGCCAAACAGAACACAATAAATGTATTCAGTAATATTTTGAAAAGTAAACAGGTTACAATAAAGATCTCATTGCACCACTAGTGGAAAAAGAGTCCAAACAGCCACTGCAGTAATCCAAACAAGACTTAACCACATGTTTTGGGGGGGAGTGGGGGGTTTGCCAGCATTATTTACAATTTATTGTGATTATTACATTATTGCTGATGCTAATCATGATTCTTCCCCCCTCCTCCCCCCTCGATACCAATAAACTGTGTGGTTATTGGCCATCCCTATCTCCTGCTTCAATTCTTTGAGTTGCAAAGAAATTCTGCCAGGGGTAATCTGTCATCATTTTATTCATCTAGTAATGTAAAATGCCTAACAAGATCATGTTAATGATTAAGAGGGGCTAAATGTGCATGAGTGGGGAATTAAGAATACATGAGGCCTTAGAGGTGGCAGCGATTTGCCATTGTGCTCTGAGTGGAAGCGTTTGAAGCAGAGCTTAAACCAAAGGTGAATTATCTCATTAGTAAGTTGACCTGTTGCCCTCGGGCCTCTCAAGTTAAACAGATCAGAGCTTTTAAGGCTCCTGTGGTGAAGCTTTAGTTTCTCAGGCTCGCAGAGGCTTATCAGTTCTACATGCTACGAGGCTACAGAGAAATCAAAACTGTTCTTTTAGAAAATATGAGGTTAAGTGTCGCATATGTTTGACTAAACTGTCTTATTTAAATAAATCCACCTCCTCAATATTGAGGCATTATGAGGCCAGGCATGAGAATGAAGTCCCAGATGCACATAGATAAACTCAGATGTTCAGCCAGTCTACAAATTACTCATTTGCTTTTTATAAATTATTTCATATACAGTGAACCCTCGCTATAACGCAGTTCACCTTTCACGGTATCGCAGATTTTTTTGTGCAGTTTTTTTTTTTTTCACAGTATTCTGTGTCCTGATTGACCCTATGATTGGTAAAAACAGTGTCCGCGCTTCTTCTTTACCTGAGTGCCAATAAAGTTACGGTATTTAATTCAGATAGCCATTCAGGAGATGGAAACTGAACCATAAAATTCATTTATCTGAATTTACAAACATTTCATAATTTTTTTTTCTCAGTTTATAATCTATTAAAAACAACACTGAACTACTACAAGGCTTCTTAGAGTGCGTGACAAGCAAAACATCTTCTAGTTGAATTATGACGAGACAAAACGATAGTTATTTATAAACCGTTGGCAGATAACTGGGAAAAACACACTTACAGTACTGTCATGTGAATCTTCCATGAAATCCCCTCGTGTTTATCATAGTTTTACATTCCACTTAATAAGCAGGTGCTGCAGTGATAGATTCAGACATTTAAGTATTGTCCTACGTATGCATGGATTGGTATAAGTTACTCCCTGTATCATAACCTTGAATAAACCACCACAACTTCATGGTATTAAATTATTTCTAGTTCTATATCCAGGTAGCCCATGATTTTTAATAACAGAAATCAAACAATTTGATTTAAAATATGTTTAACTATCTACGTTTACGTTTAGACATCATAAGCGTTAAAGATTTTTTTCCAGAAATGCAGCAATTAATTAACCAGGGATTAAAATCAACCAGCAGATGATAAAAGCACCAAAAAAAAAGGTTTGATCATATTTCAATTAATTTCCATTTCATGGTTAAAACTTCAACTATAAACCTCTCAATAAACAGCACTTTCTCCGATGTGATGCACTTTTTATGTTTTGAGTATAGCTAAAAAAAAAAAAAAAAAAAAAAAAAAAGGTCAAGCTGCAAGTTAGGGACATTAAAAGGGATAAACTCATAACTTCTCTTCGATTAAGGTGTGGGATTAAATACTATTTCTTCTAAAAGAGGAAATCTGCAGCTGGTTTCTCTCCTTGTAGTCAGAGATTGATATATTTACTAGTAGAAGTAAAACAAAAGACCAAATTAGTTCCAATGTGTCACTGTGGACAAGAAAATTGGAATCATCAGATCATA